GCCCCTGAGGCGGTCCGGCCTCTCCCTCTGACCGGTGTTGTCCCATCGCTGCCTCCGAGGTGGAGGGGCCAGGCCCCGCTGTGGGTCCTGTGGATGCTTGCACCTTACCTGTTAGCTTGACTTTGCCAACTGCAAGGTTCTGTTCATAGAGCTGCCCTGCTTGCTCTGGAGCTGGTTCACTCCTTGCACTTGGTCCTGGCATCCGAGGGAACTGGAGGGAACCAAGCCCCCAGTAAAGGCAGCCAGCTCTGCTTGCAAAGGGTGACATCCATGTGTGCTGTCACGGTGACACGCGAGCCTACAGGCATGGCCCACATCGAGGCTTTTGTCAGAAAGGGGCTTTTGAGAGGCCTGAGACATGTGTGAGGATGCTTACTTTTTGCCACAGAGATGATTAAAATGTGTCTTCTCAAAGCTGTTGCAAAGGCTTGTGTTTGGGCAGATACTGTGAATTTTAGCAGATGGGTGTTTTGGGAGAACATTCTGCTTTATTGAACAGGTCTCATGAAGCGAGAGAAACCTGTCTTTAAAAAGAAAAAAAGAATTACTGATACAAAGCTATGCTGCTGACAGCAAAGTAGGATATGGGTATATCTGGCAAGAAATTTTAAGCAGGGTTATTTTCAGCTTTGAACATATAAGATCAAATGTCCTAACACAGAACAGCCAACCTGCTCATGGAGTTTAGCATTTGAAGACTGCAGCAGTTAGATTAACTTCAGACCTTGATTTAACCACTCAAGACTTTGGAAATCCTTTACTGTATTTCTGTCCAAGCATGTGATTAAACTTTAAGTTGTAAGACCTGTGAAACAGCTGGTGTCTAAGTGGGCCCTGCCTTTGCCAGCAATGGAGAGTTGGCATTTCCTAGCAAGAGTCCAAACAAAATGGAAAAAGACAGGATTAAGATTCAGTGGCAGCTTGAGTTATGAAGATTGGGGGGGAAAATCTGCAGCTAGAGACTTTGCCACATGTTTCTTTAAGATTTCTTTAAGGCAGATTGCTACAGCAGGCAGATTTGCTGTGTTTGATCTGTTTCTTTTCTCCTGGGGTCCCAGTTCTCTGGGAGAGCAATTTGTGCTCACAGAAGGGCTCAGTCTTTCTTCGTAAGATGGATGAGGATGGAGTTCTAATACTAGATTCTGAAAACAGATGGAAAGGAGGCAGTGGGGGGGGGGATTGTTTGTTTTGTAAGTGTAGAAACTATTAAAATACACATTTTTCCTCATTGTCCAGAGATTTACAGCGTCCCTATCTCAGAGCAGAACTACTTTGAGTGGAAGGACATCTGCAAAAGATGGCTCGAAGCTGAAGCCTGTGGCATTTTTGCAGGTAGGGAGGATATATTGCTCTTAGGAAGGTACACTGGGTTGTCTAATACCAAATTTGTAGCACCTCAGGTATCCAGATGTTCTTCAGTCCTCACTGTTCGTCTGTTTATTTGATATCAGAAATTAGTTCAGTGCTAATCAGTGTGCACTTGTTATTTATCCGTGTAGGTAATACAGTGCACAGCCTCCTTTAATCAGTCATTGCAGGAGGGAGAATAAACTGTGGGAATACTTCCCCTGCTCTTCAGAGACAATGAGGTCAGATGTGTTTTATAACATTCCCTGGAGCTTAGTAGACTTGGGCTGTCTGGAAAAAGAGGAGATTATTGTCAGAGCGGGTGACTTCTCACAGGGAATGCCAGCCTCCACAGCAGGCACAACACTCTGCAGAAGCTATGAGGCACACACAGACAAATAAAATATCTTCATTCCCAGATAGAGAGAGGAAGGGTACCTGCTCTCCACAGCATGTAGTAGTGTCCTAGCTGTAAGCCCCTGTTTTATTCTGCGTCTTTTGTTCCCTCTGTACAGAGACAGCAGGAAATCATGTTAGAGGAAGTGCGTGCCACAGTGCTAAGTCCAGTATTTATTTCTGAGTTTGAAAGCTGTCTTACAGGGGCTGAAAAATGCAGTAGAGGATTAGGATGTGGTGACCTATTTCACTGCAAATCTTTTAGTTTACCTTGTGTCTGGCGAAAGAATAGAAATCTTGCAAAGTGATGCAGGAGGGAAGGGAGGTCCTTCATACCATGTGCGTTATATCAGCTTTTATCCTTGCTTTGGTTTGTTCTGGATTATGTGGCAGAAGTGAGAATTTTTCTTTCATAGAAGCAGTTGGAGTGAAGGACATGAGCTTGTAAATTTGAGGAAGGGAAGTTTCAAAGCTTAACTGGGTGAGAGACTGAGCAACCTTGTCTGTGAGGTTAGCTGTTCTTCAAGCAGGCAGTGGGACCAGATCACCTCCAGAAGTTCCTTCCAATGAGTGCTTTCCTCTTTCAGTCACAAAGGACAGGAAAGCATTGGTGTGAGGAGGCAGGAATATCCAGGCAGTGCTGAAAAGCAGGGAGTATGAAATTAAACAAATTAGGGTGTAGATTAAAGACTTAACGTTGAATCAGTGGTAAGCAATTTGAATCTGCAGCATAGTGAAATCTGTTAGGAGTCAGATAGTACCACTGAAGTACCACTGAAGTGCTGGGTTGGATAGAGTAAAGTCTTAAAAGTTGTCTTGTACAAAAAAAAAATTATTATCTTCTACACATTCAGAGAATCTGTAGGTTCTTTTAACTAGATGTTGCAAATAACTGAAGAACAGAGTTGTTCCATAACTGAAAGATCTGGTTGAAGAATGTAGATGTCAGTATCTGCAGAAGTAAGCTCTAGGTAAAGTCTACTCTTTACCTAAGTGATTTTGTGAATACGTTTCCTGTAAGCAGTGTGTCTCCAGTGAATCTGAAGGAAATCAAGGTTTAAATGGAGGTTTCTCTAAAGCGCATTTTGCCTCTGTGCTTCTCCTATCTCTCTGTTATAAATTGATCCAGATATACTGCTGCATGTACAATAGAGGAGGTGGAATTTTCTGGCTGGAGCTCAGAGTCAGTGCTTCATCTGATAGATCTAACTTTAAAAACCCATTAAATGCAGCCATCCCTATGGTGGAATGTAGAGGTGCTTTGAAAGTGGCTTTTATGTAATTGAAAAAAGCACAAAGGGAAGAAGTAAAAAGTCAGGAGCTAGAATTTGGTAGCTCTGAAATATTTTCAAAGCTTACAAGGATTCTGGAATAATTTGTGAATCACTTTGTTCTTCGAAAAAAAAGTACTATCACCCATTGCTAATGGAGTTGAGGACAGACAGTTACTCTCAGAGGACCTCATACTTTATCTCTCTGTTTAATTTTCTGTGATAGGAAAATGCTGCTGGTATCAGCAGGTAGAATTCCTTTAGGGATTTGTTTCATTGTTTGGTGGGAATTGTAAGAAAACAAGGGGTTTTATATGCTTTGAATATTTTAATGTTTCTCCCAGCCTAGTCCAATAACCCGTAGTGTGAGTAGCTCAGAGACTCCATGGTGGCTACCAAGATTTTTGTGCCTGAGACCTGTGAGAAAACATGATCAGCAAAGGTCTTGGCAGGTGAGTGACTCTCAACGTTCCTTCAGCTGTAGATTCTACTGTGAAGACACATGAAACCAGTATCTGTAACTGGGATCCCAGGATATTTGGGTGCAGTTGAGCTCCTGTCTTGGAATGGGCACCTTAGTACTACTGGAGTTCTGGGCAGTTACCTGGTCAGTCAGCCTGTGTGTGCTCCAGGACTGCTGTCCCCGGCATGTGCTTGGTTTCATGTGTGAGTCCTCCTTAGCAGGAGCTTTGTGCTTCAGTCTGTCCCCCGAGACATGCTCAGAAATGTGTATTACATGAAGATGTGTGTGCTCTGTCCTCCCTGTGGTGTGGGTTGGGTCTGTCCAGTGTGAATTGTCTGTCTAGTGTTTGCATATTGCATGAATCTTTCAGAGGAATCTCAAAAGTTAACGCTGGGCAGCAGTGTTAGCACGTTCAGAAATCATATTGCAGCCTGTCTTAGATGTGCATGAGGAGGCTGCCAACTCAGTAAGCAGTGGTCTGATGATACATGTCTGATGATACATGATGACATGTCTTCCTTCAAAGAAGAGTTCCCAAATAATTAAAAACATGGCTTTAACTGGGGATATCCCAATCTCCATCATTCCTGTCTCATCTCTGTGAAATGTTCTCCATCTTTTATGCTGAAGTATTCCTGACAACTGCTACAAGGATGCTTTGTTGTATTTCCTGCACAGAAATAAGGAGGTTTGCTAGGCAGTGGGGGGTGAAGATGTTAGGTGAACTTCCCACTTTTCTATCCCAGTTTGTAGCTTGATTGTGGAACCTAGATGAGAACCTGATCTTTGAGCAGGTTGACTTTCTTTGCAGACCTTTTTCTTTTTTTTACGTTTATCCAGAGGTTCTCCTCAGCATCAGCGAAGAGTGGCACACCAAATACTTTTGAGTGCAGTAGAGATTTTGGGGAGAAAAATAATGTTGAAGATTGGCTAGCAGAGAAACACTTCAGCTGTGCAAAGGTATGAGTAGAGGAATGAAATGCAATGGAAGGTGTGGAGGGAGGAATGAAAAATGGTGATCTGCAAAATCCTATAAAAGCTGAGAAATGTTTGTTGTTGGGAAGGGGAACAAAGAACCCTAGAAATAGCAATTTGATGGGTTTTATCAAGCCCTTGCATCTTTTAAAGCAGGTTTATTGAGTGCCATGCAATTTGACATGTGAAAGTTTCCCATAACACCTTAAACAAGCTTGTGACTTGTTAGAATCATGGACTCGAAGAACAGCCCAGGTTGGAAGGGACCTCGAAAGATCGTCTGGTCCAACGGGAAAGGGACACTGGAGGAGATTACCTAGCACCCTGTCCAACTGCATCTTGAACCCCGCCAGACATGGGAACGCCACCCCATCCCTGAGAAGCTTGTTCCAGTGAATGATTGATCTCACTGTAAAAAATTTCTTTCTCCTATCGAGATGAAACCTCTCCCAATGCAACTTGTACCTATTGCCCCTTGCCTTCTCCATGTGACTCCTTGTGAAGAGAGAGCCTCCATCCTCTCTGTAGCCATCCTTTTAGGACTGGCAGTCTGCCGTGCGGTTCCCCCAGGCCTTCTGTTCTCCAGGAAGAAGAGACCTGACTCCTTCAGTCAAAGAAGACTCCTTTGGTTCTATAAATGTTCTTCAGATGTGTATCATACTGAAGGAAAACTTTTCACCTGTTCACTGATGTGTGTTCTGAGTACACTCTGTTCATGGTTCTTCTCAGCTGGAGAGATGTCCGTGTCTTCCTGGTGCTGTGGCCAAAGAGGTGAATGGTCTGGTGCCGCTGAACATGTACATTACAGTTCTTCCAAAACTCTTCTGTTGTTACATTTAACCTAACTGTTCAGAGCAAGTCTTGCCAGGCCAGGTTGGACGGGGCTTTCGGCTGCCTGCTGTAGTTGAAGGTGTCCCTGCCTCTGGCAGGGGGTTGGAACTAGATGAGCTTTAAGGTCCCTTCCAGTCAAAACCCTTCTGCCACTCTATGCTTCTGTGATTTGCCTGCTTGTGCTGTTCTGCCAGCTGGGTTATGGTGTAGTGTGCCTTTAACTACAACACAAGTAATTATCTTGAATTCAAAAGTAATTGTAACTCCTACTCCTGCTTTTACTTCATGTGGGGGTTTTTTTTGATGTTTTGTTAGGCAGCAGCTGATCAAAGTCGAGACATCCTTGTTTCTGCTCACTGCATCTTGGACAGAGAAAATTATTTTGTGAGGGTAAGAAGTGGTATCTCTTTCCTCATTTGCTGCGTGCTTTCCTGTATGTCAGTGTTTTTTCTCTCCATCGGTGATTCATGACAAAAATGTCAGTTGTCTGTATTCTTGAAAAACTAAATTTAGAAGTGCAGATTTCTGGCCTCTTCAGTCTCCTTGGGATAGGACTGAAGTGGTAACCCTAAATATGAGCTTAGGAATCATCTGTCTTTGGTGATTTACTTGCTTGTTTGCACCTAACTTGTGTTCTGTGGGTGTGATTAGATGGTGACAGCGGGCCTGGGAATAAAGGGCAGGAGGGCTGATCTGATCTAGCACATTGTCAGTGCTACAGGGAGAAGGTCCTTCCCCTGCTACTTATTTTGCACAGTCTTGGGCTTAATAGACCCCCACTCTGAAGTGATTTCAGCTCACTAACCTGGTGAGAGAAAGTGAATGGTTTTCTGCTAGTCTTGCACTGTAGCTTAAAGAATGAGAGTCTGAATGCCAGAGCTTGTTCCAGGGAGAGCCTGGAAACAAGTGGTGGGAGGTGGAGAGAGGGAGGAGCAGAAAGAAGGGCTGGCAAACAGGGCTATTGCAGCAGTGACCAGTCAGATCAGGTCAGCCACGCTGCCTGGCTTCACCTGTGGAATCTTCAGTGTGGTTGGCCAATGGGTTGTATGGGGTCTATTTTCCATTTCTTGCTTAGGAGGTGGACAGATACTTGAGGCACAATGAATTCTTAGATCTGAGAAAGAAGGAGATGCTCTACAAGAAATGGCTTGAGGATGTTTCAGAGCCACTGCTGCAGAAAATTGAGGACAAGATGGACAGCAAGTCAAGTGCAGAAATACAGAAAAGGAAAGAAGAACAACTCTCTCTCTACTTAGACTACTGTAAAAAGAAGGTATCGATGAGAAGTAAATTCCTGTCATGGAGAGGGTTGCATACAGAGGGTTGTGGGCAAGACACATGGATTCTGTAGTTCTGTGTGTTTCAGTACTCATAAACCTTGGAGTCACTGCAGGAAATACTTGTTGGTTTTCTTGATTTTGCTCTGAATTTCACTCCACTGTCGAGTATCAGATCCCATGATTTGACTTTCTACATCTCAGGAATGGATATAGAGCAATAGAAGCAGTTACATAATTGGCCACAAATAGAATAAGAACAGGCTTTTGCTGTCAGTGGAAACCACTGCACAGAGGAGTTATAAGACTGCAAACAGGCTTCCCATCCAGAAACGAAAATGTCATGGGAATTGTGTCGTTTTAATGAAAGCAAGTGATCACTTCTTCAAAGGTCTGATGTGAAAGACCCACACTGCATGTGATGAAAAGAGCTGCATCAGTCTTACTGCTGAAGTTCTGGGATTTAGGGAATTATGTTGGGTGTCCTGTACCTATCTGGGTCTGCATCAGCCCATCTCACAAGCTTGGGTGGCAGGTCAGGACTTTGCTGGGTGTCCACCAAAAGCAATGGATGCTGTAGTGGGATGTGTCCTTCTCCCTGAACAAGCACAGCTCTGGTGATCAGCTTCCTCCTTTTCTCCTTGCTCAGTGGTGCCTGTTCTCTCATCAGCATGTCTATATAGCAGACTAAAGCCTGTCAGAGAAACAGGACAATTGATTTGCATAAGTTTGCATTAATTGTGGCAGCATATGATAGATTGTGCAAAACTTAAGACACTTCTGTGGTTTTGTTAATATAGTGATTTCTGGCTCTGCATTTCCCTCCTCCTCTGTTTTGTCCATTTTCTCTTGCTCTCTTCACTGCTATTAGGCTTCTCCTTGTCCTGTTCCTCAGATCTTCTCACCTTCCTGTGTCGCTGTCACCAGCCTGTACCCTCTTTCCATACCTATTCTTCTTCCTCCAGTTTTGCTTCTTGCACTCTCCTGTCTTCAGGCAACACTTATACTCCATCCCCAAGTCTGCCAGTGTTTTGTCCCTTCTTCTGCCAGACTCCCCAGTGCTGTGTCTCCCTCTCCTTGTTGCTTCTGATGATTCCTCCAAGTTCTCCACTCTCCTTTGCTTTCCAAAGCTGTCTTCCCCCCCTTTCCTCCATACTCCTCCTCCCTAGTAACACTCTCCTTACTGTCCTTCCAGGTTCTTCCATCTCAGTTTTTCTGTCAGCTTGCGTTTCTGCCTCCTTTATCATGCCATAGCAGCCTTCCTCATTTATCATGCCATAGCAGCCTTCCTCCTTTACCTCCCTTCCTTGACTTCCCATTGTTCCAGTGACCTGCTCGTATATATATTGTTCCTTAAATCTGCCTTCTTTTCACCCCCATTCTCACCTCCTCCTTACCTCCAGTCCCAGGGACACAGACTGCAGATGCATGATGAGGTGGTTGGTCACAGTGTGAAGATGGCGGTAGATTTATTTTCTTTCTAGCACTGGCAGGGAAGTGCCACGCTGCAGCCTGCAAGGACAGGGAAGGTTCCCTGGCCTGGGTTGCTGCTGTGTTAGCCACAGCTCATCTTTTGGAAGCCCAGGGTATTGTAGGTGGTGTGTGCTGAAATGCTGCAAAGGAAGAGACCTTTGTGACTCATGTTTTAAGAGCAGGCTGTTACTGCTTTCTGCCAAGGGGTGTGCGAGTGACCAGACATCAGGGGAAGGAAGGGATCAAACGTGGGTGTGCTGCACAGCACTAAGCACAAGTGACAGATCTCAGCACATACTGTAATGAGGTGATGTGCAATAATAAACCAAGGGGTGGCACTAAAACCCTGCAAATCGAGGCGTGTTAGTACTTAAATGGGAGACGGTGAGTGTGGCTGCTGCTTTCACTTTGAGGAACTGCCAGATCCTGGGGAGCAGAGGCCTCTGCAGAGGCGGCAGCATTCCTACTCAGCAGTAGCTGAAGCCCCATGGAGCTGCCCAGGTGCTCACTTCGTGCCTGGGAACAGCACAGGCCCTTGGGGCCTGGCTTGCTCACCCTTGTGAGCACCTTCAACACAGTGACCTCTTCTGCTGCAGATCCCACATGTTTTGATTTGGACTCATCTTGCAGCGCTCCTGAACTGTTGAGGTTAAAGCATGGTTTTTCCAGCTCTTGAAATCACATCCACAGATTGCCAAAAAGAACTGTTTAGGGCTCAGATCTGGAAGATAATGGGCTGAACATTCCCTTCCTTCCAGGGACCCCTGGAGAACCATCTGCACAAGAAAGCTGAAAAACTTCATTTCCAAGGTTTTGGAGGAATGGCCAAGAGTATTAGGGAGAAGTATTTTATATGTATGCTTGCCCTGCTCTTACTGTTTATTAGAGTGTCAGTGGTGGGTGCTGTTCTTTATTATTGTTGGTTTTTTTACTTCTGTTTTGTTTTCTCCTCTGTACAGCTCTTTGATGCAATTTAGTTAAGTCCTGGCTTATTGGCTGTAAACAGTGCATTATAATATGGAGACAAGCAGTTGCAATTCACCTTTCTCAGCATCAGGCTTGATCAGTGTGTCAACCTCAGTCTCTGTTCAGCTTCTTGATGGCCTGTTTGACCTGGTATTCTTTGGTCTTGGCATCAATAGTGGATGCCAAGTGGTGGTACTGGCTGTTCCCCAGGTAACTCTGGTCACAGAGAACCTGAACTCAGCCTCTTTTTAATATCTGTTCCCTTCTCTGTCAAAACATTTTCCCTTGAGCAAAACTTCCATTTTCTTGACTGCCCTGGCAGTGGTTAGCATTTTAGCCTTTAATTATTTCTGGTTGCTTTGTGAAATCATTTATTATGTACTCATGCCTGTGATAAATTAAAATGGATGGAGGAATTTTCCTGTAACATGTAAGTCACCTTCTTTCAGAGATGCAGTGGGTGAGAATTCAGGAGTCCTTTTCTCCACCGTCCCTGGTGCTGTGTTCGTATCACACCTGGGAGTTTAGGACCTGAGCTGGCTGCTCTCACTGTTTTATCACCAGTAGCTTATGAGACCTGACCCAGTACCTGCTTCTCCCACAGGGCTATGTGATTTTGGATGCTTATGACCCATCGGAGTATGATCCATTCTTCCTGAGGACATCTACAGACTGGTGGAAGGTGTGATAATTATTTATGCTGTCAGGTCTAGGGGCACCCTTTGGCCAGCAGGAAGTTAACAGCTGGAGAGGAGGCAGAGCGTGTTACTGATGTGCTGCTATGGGGCTGGCATAGAGCAACATGTTCTAGTTTTGTTAACTGAGCAAACGTGGGTCCCAGCTCCTACTGCATTTAAGACCAAGTGTGTTTGAAAATGTTTTTCACTGGGAAATGGTTTGGATCCATACTAAGCCCAGACTTGGGGGCACAGTAGGCAATGGCAGGGGGGGAGGTTTGTTTTCCCCATCTCAAATTCATTGTGGCAGCATGGGAAGCATCCTGTCTAACAGGAGTTGGTGTGTTCCCAGGCAAGCTGGACGTGTGCTCTGTAGAAGGCAATCTAACAGTTCAGATGATCTTTACAGAAGCTCACACAAATGCACCAAGGGCTAACAGAAGAGTTATGGAGCGCTTTGACACAAATCCATGAAGTGCAATTCTCTAAATCCCTTCTGGATGCTGTGAGCCCCCAGCAGGTGTGGGGATGGAGCTGACAGTCCATTGCAATGTGTGAACCCTTGCAGGGTTCATCAAGGTCAGCTGCCTCCAGCAGATCAGAGCTCATGTCTGTGGTCTAACTCTGTAGCACAGTGGTTGAATGCACTATATGGCCTGCCTGAGATGCTGAGAGGCTCAGCATTTCTGAGGCCACTCAAGTCTGCCACCTGGTTTTATCCATAAAAAATGAGGTTGATGCTCCTTCCCTGCTAACCAGTGGCACCCTGACATCCACCTCTGACTCCGGTCTTTTGAGACTGACAAAGTGCTTGTGTTGGTGGTGTAAACATGACATAGTTGTCTCTGTTACAGGTTTCAACACCAGCTTTACAGGATCCTCTGTTAAGAGACATTCAAAGAAAGCTTATTGAGACAGGCATTATCAAGCAGTGCGAGACAGGTATTTTAAACAACTGGTATCCCTTGGAAGTGTTTCATACTGGGGGGATGTCCTTGCTTGTGACAGTAGGTGCTCACATGAGGCACTTGTTACTTCCTGCCAGGAAGACCATGCTCCACCAGAGAGCTGAACAAACTCAGCAGAGAACTGCCACTGCTTCCTTTGAGCCGGCAACATATGGATGCAATTGAATGGCTGAAGATACCACACACCTACATTGCTAGTGACGTCTACCAAAGAAAGAGGTAAGAGGTAATGTGGTGTTTATTGAGAGGCAGCACAACAGGTACAGTGGATGAGGCCTTTCCTTCTTGGCTGCATAGCAGACTATTTGATAAAACTTAAATTTCATAGTGAATTCTGCTTTATTGTGTATTTCTCCTGAGAAAGGAATGTTGGTGAAGGGAAAAGCCTTCAGGGTGCTTTACTGGAAGATCTGAAAAGATTTAAGGTTCATCCTTGCCTTGGGTTTTAGAGTCAGTTTGGTTTTTTTCTATTAGTTTCTAGATTTTTGGGAGCAGAGGGAGGTCATACTTGTATCACAGACTGGTGGAGGTTGGAAGGGATCTCTGGGGGTCATCTTGTCCAACCCCCTGCTAAAGCAGGGCCACAGAGCGCCAGTTGCCAGCCACCATGTCTAGGCAGCTTTTGAGTATCTCCAAAGATAGGGACTCCACAACCACCCGGGGCAGCCTGTGCCAGTGCTTGGTCAACTTCAGAGTGTGGAAGTGTTTCTTGATGTTCACACATCCTGTGTTTCAGTGTGTGCCCGTTGCCTCTGGTCCTGTCACTGTGCACCACTGAAAAGAGCCTGGCTTTGTCCTCTTTGTACCCCTCCCTTTCATACACACTGATGAGATTCCCCCTGAGCCTTCTCCTCTCCAGGCTGAGCTGTCCCAGCTTTCTCAGCCTTGTCTCCTCTTTGCTCAACCAGTGTCCTTTGACCGTTGAGCGTTATGGCTCAAACCATGATGCTGGTCCTGCACAGGACTGGCCTGTGCTGAGGGAGTTACACACCACTCCGGAAAGTTACATCCTGCAGCTGAGCTGAGAGGTTGCTTTTTGGCACACAGGCTGGCTGGACTCAAAACTACACCAGAGACAACTAATGGCGAGCTGAACTGGAGCAGTGATGCAGCTGCCTAGGCTGAGAACACTAGAGAGCCCTGGCTAGCCAGCCCTGAGAGAGCAGCAGTTGGGATCGGAGTGGTCTTAATTTTTTAATTATCATGCTTTTTTTTTTACCGTCCCAGGCTCTGATTCACCCCTTTGAAAGCTCTCTGGTTCTGCCATTGCAGTACACAACACTTAAGGGAACTCCTGCTCCACAGTGACAAGAACAGCAAACATGAACCAAGAGCATAATGTACTCCTGAGCCAGGCCCACTCTGCCCCCCAGCCCCTGCCTTGGAGTTTTATTTTACTAGCCCAGGGCTTTACTCCAGCAGGAAAACTGGTCACAAAGACAAACATTTCCTGGAGTGACTCAGTGTGGGAAAGAGCTAGTGCAGGAAGCTGTGCTGGGCCCCAGCAGCCTTCGTGCTGCATGGACTGGCAGTAGTTTTTACTTCTGTTTGTTTAAAGGCAAAAAGCCATCAGCCACACCAGAGACAGCATATGGTGTCACCTGTCCTCCAGCTGACTGCAGTGGCAAGCACGGCCATCAGAAGGTACCACCTGCAAAGGATGTTACATCTTCTGCCAGAGCAAGGTGAACAGGCCAGGTCTTCTGGCCAACTGCAATAAACTCGTCGTCTCAAACACATCATTCTTAAGTAGTTACTTGGCAGCCAAAGAAAGGTTTGAGATGCTGCTCCTGTTATTTCCAGCTCCGGTTCATACTCTACATTCCAAAACCTACTATTTTAGGAGGTTTAACTTAGACTCAGCTTTACAAAGACAGTGCTGATGTCCTCTGGTTTATATAGTGAGAGTCTTCTCACCAGTTCATCTCCTTTAATAAAAAGGAGATAGTTAGAAGAAGGTCTGGTAGGCCCCTCTTCTGTGCAGTGCACGCTCTGCAAGTTATCCCCAGCTCTGAGGCCACTGCATTTCATATTACAGGAAGTGTGGTGGTAGCATTGGGCAGAGGGAATGGCAGAGCTTGCACAATTTTAGCTGCAGCTGTTGCAATTTTTTGTGAAGCTGAAAGATGTCACGTTGAGATTTAAGCACAAACCCTCTCTTGAATGAGAAGGAGGCTATGTGCCTCGTCAGCAGGTATGTGCGGAAAAGTGGCTTAGAAAGCACTGATAAGGAAATAAAGGTTTGGTTTTGTTTGTTCCAATCTTTATCAGAACTCCCACAGTGAGCGTCCTGCAGAATATTATTTGTATGTGCTGTCAGTGCCCTGCAGACAGGTTTCTCTCCTGTTGCAGCTTTGGTGTTGAAGCCTGAGAAAAGAATGCCTCAAGGCTTGTACAAGAAGCTCCAAACTCCCACTGTACAGACACAGACTCTCTAGAGTTGCCAAGATTTAGTTTTATTTAGGATTAGAAATACTGAACCACAGAAAACTTGTTAAAAGAAACAGAGGTCGACTCAGCCCTGTCCGAGGAGGGCGTACAGGCAGCAATCGGGTGTGAAACTGTCAGACAGCAGGAGGTGCTGCTGTCCCCATGGAAGACAAGGGCCCACGCTGCTCAGAATTCCATGCTGTGCTTTTCCAACAATGCAGTTTAAGGAGGCAGTAAAATGGTTACAATGTATCAAACCCTTTATAAACAAACTCTTCTTTTGTTTAACCATCCCTGATTTTGATGACAAGAGGAAGTTTTTGCTTTCAACCAATCTCATTTTACAGATTCATATTGGGGTGCCAGTTCCCCCAAGCAAACCCTTTCAACTTGTAATAAACTCTTCATGAATTTAATCCTCTAAGTTTTTTCTCATTATTTCACATTCCCCTGTAAAATAAAATATACTTCTTAAAAATCACTGCATCAATAAACATCTGTAGACAAATTACATTAATAAACTTATATTTTACTCTCTATATACATGTTGGCAATGTCAAAGCTTCAAGATTCACTTGGAGGTCTGTAAGACCAAGGAAATGTACACAAATAACTTACATTTAGGAAAAAACCAAAGGCTGAAGAGTATTTTGCCACATTACTGTGGGTCACAGTATTTAAAATATCTTTTTTTCTAGCTATTCTTCACAACCACATTGTCTCAGCAGAGAATGAGGAATCGAACTGAAGCAGGAAGAAAAATCAAGTAGCAGTTACTGATTTCAGTGCAGAACTAAGTCAAGTAAGGAACTACACTTGATTCTTAAAGAATATACAATATATCAGAGAATTCTCCAGTGCTAAGGCTTCTTCAGCATTTAATCTTTAAAACTATCATCCTGAGATGGGAAGATTCCAGTGGATATCACTTTGCAGATTTCAAATGGAATGATTCTAGTGCTGAGCTTAAACCATTCCTCAGTCTGTATGCCAGACTAAGTGGTAAAATATACATGTGTCTTGATGCCACATTTCTAGTGAATACTTCCTAGGGCCCTGAAAATGGAAGCAGTGGCATCCAAACCCAAGATATCCCAACATAATGAAAAGGCACTGAGCTACAGAACTGTATATACAGTAACATTTGTGTTTGCATAGATCAACAACAACTTTGAACGCTGCAAGGAGCTAAATGCAACCAGGAACTAAGAGGAAATATGGAAAAATTTGCTTAATAACCAGGTGGGGCAAGGCATCTTTTGCAGAAAAGCAGTTGAGGCCATCAGCTTCAGTTGTCCTTCATAAATTAAAAAGTGTTCTTAGAGGAGTGTTTTCTGGTCAAAGAGCTGCAGGTCGAAACGGACCCACACTTCACCTGTTGGAACTTCATGCAGCAGTAAGTGTTTAGTCGTGGGGCCTTTGCTTTCTTGTTCTGTTCTGATTTTTGCTACTGGAACTTCAGTGCGACCCAAAAAATCTGTTGGGCAAGGAAATAAGAAATCTCATTAAGCAAAGACGTTCGGCTTAGAAAATCTGAAAGTGTGAAGTTAAGTAGCAATGTTGTGTAGTATATATTCAGTTCCAGAGCACTGACTAGCCCTCAGCACTGTGTGGATCAGCCAGGTCTTTTAATACAGAATTAGGATGGAAAGTATGTCTTTATGTCATGGTTTGATCTAAGGCCTTTAAAAACACAGTTCCCTTTCAGAAAGACAGTTTCAAATGTTCTCTTATCTTAGAGCTGGAAGGTCAGAGATGAAGCGATGGAACCTGTTTACAAGTCAGCTATGGTGCTACAGACACAGCTAAAAACCATCAACTATGTTGGCTGAGCCAACTTTTAGTTAGGCCCATAGATTTTTCTTTTCACAAGGACAAAGACTTTGAACAATTACTGCCACTAGTAGGTTCGCAGTCCTATTCATGAATTATAAACCCTCTTTTGTGGCCATTTCATCCTGGGGGTGTGTGTGCATTAAAAGGTTTACCAAGAACTGGAAAAACTACAGCCTTAGCTGTCCAATGGGGAGAAGCAGCCTAGCAAAGTCATGTTACCTCACAGGAGAAAAGACACATAGGGTAACTCAGGTCCAGGCAGGACCTTGCAAATCTGCAATAATCAGCTGTGTGTCAGAGCTCTGACAAAGCACTTAACCTTTTAAGAGTACTAGAAGCAACTGACTGCCAAAAACATGTTGTCCTGGGTTCAGCTACAGCAGTCATTTTTTCTCCTTCCTAGTAGCTGGTGCAGTGCTGTGTTTTTGACTTTCAGTCTGGGAACAACGCTGATAACACCGATGGTTTTAGTTGTTGCTCAGTAATGTTTACTGTGACCAAGGACTTTCTCAGTCTCATGCTCTGCCAGAGAGGAGGGGAAGCCAGGAGGAAGCAGAGACAGGACACCTGACCCAAACTGGCCAAAGGGCTATTCCATACCACAGCACGTCATGCCCAGTATAGAAGCTGGGGGGAGTTACCCGGAAGGCCCAGATCGCTGCTCGGGTCGGGCTGGGTATCGGTCGGCGGGTGGTGAGCGGTTGTGTCCTTTTCCCTTGTTATTTCCCCTTATCATTATTATTGGTAGCAGTAGTGGTTTGTATTATACCTTAGTTACTGGAGAGCTGTTATCTCAACTCGTGGGAGTTACATTCCTTCGATTCTCCTCCCCATTCCTCCGGGAGCGGGGGGAGGAGGGAAAAGCGGGGGGAGTGAGTGAGCGGCTGCGTGGTTCTAAGTTGCTGGCTGGGCTTGAACCACGACACATGTTCAAGCAAAAAAGGAAAGCTTATTAAGATCTTGCTGTGTAAATATAACCTAGCACCTTTTTTCTGGGCGCCTACAGTGACAGAGAAAAACAACTGCTTTCAATTTCTTTGTCGTCCCAGTCTCACATAAATAATTCTGTGTCCAATAAGAAAAGTGGGATCAGACTTGCCTGCCCAGAGCCGTTGGCTCCGGAAGGCTACTGAACCTCTCAGGAAGCAATCACAGAGGCTTTTGGAACTGCTGGTGAGGAACTGTGTACCCCAAGGCACAAAAAGGCATTCCTTTCCTGAAACAGATGTTCACACTTACCATCAGGTGAGAACTGATCCCTGTCAAACATGGTGATACACAGGACATCCTGATAAAGATCCTTGATGAAGAACTGGCAGTTGAAGTTCCACTTGGGGTTCAAGGTGTCTTGCAGGGTCCTTGTAGTGTAGCTCTGAGAGCCCATGCTGATTTCACAGTATGGGTTGCTCTTCCCTAGACACAGAACAAATCATGAAACACCTTTGTGGTATAGAAACCTCCCTCCCCATCTGAGACTGTTTGGACACACATCAGTCGATACTGCTGTCCAGAAGACATGAGGCAGTGTCCTGGGTTCAGCTACAGCAGTCATTTTTTCTCCTTCTCCAGCTGGTGCAGTGCTGTGGTTTTGACTTTCAGCCTGGGAACAATGCTGATAACACCGATGTTTTTACTTGTTGCTCAGTAATGTTTACTGTGACCAAGGACTTTCTCAGTCTCATGCTCTGCCAGGGAGGAGGGGAAGCCGGGAGGAAGCAGAGACAGGACACCTGACCCAAACTGGCCAAAGGGGTATTCCATACCACAGCACGTCATGCCCAGTATAGAAACTGGGGGGAGTTACCCGGAAGGCCCAGATCGCTGCTCGGGTCGGGCTGGGTATCAGTCGGCGGGTGGTGAGCGGTTGTGTCCTCTCCCCTTGTTATTCCTCTTATCATTATTATTGGTAGCAGTAGTGGTTTGTATTATACCTTAGTTACTGGAGAGCTGTTATCTCAACTCGTGGGAGTTACATTCCTCCAATTCTTCTCCCCATCCCTCCGGGAGCGGGGGGAGGAAGAACGTGGGGAGTGAGTGAGTGGCTGCGTGGTTCCGAGTTACCGGCTGGGCTTAAACCACGACAGGCAGGCAATCTCTATATCCTACAGCAGCACAGAGCTGGCTCCTCACTCACTCCTCTGAAGCTTAATAATGGCTAAATTGTTCAGAAGCTGTAGAAGCCTTTCCACACGCTGTAGGAATAAAAGCGATTCAACACTATTTCCTTCACTTACCATTGGGCTTACAGGCCTTTAGTTCTGTTGCTTCAATCACATGCACCATCAAACGTCCTATTCCTGAGGTTTTCTGTGAGCGAGCTGGGAACAAAGAAGTCAGAAACAAATGGATTGGCTGCAACTGTAAAAACTGGCACTAGATCTGAAGAGGGAGATCAGATCCTACACAGACACTGTGGCACCCTCCCGAAAAGGCCCTGCCCACGTGTCCACATGGATGAGCAGGAAATACAGAATGTGGTAGGTACCTTGATAAGCCTTTTCACGTTTCTTCTTTTCAGTTTCAATGTACTGCTCAGATGCTGCTTTGATTTTCTGGACCCAGGCAGTACTGCAAAGAGCAATCCCTATGGTCAGGGTCATACCACAGCCAAGAAGTTCTTTTGTATCAGCAACTCTGCCCCAATCTCTTTTGACACTTTTCTCCCTCTCACTGTTTCAGAGGCATCACAAATCCAAGCTAGTTCAAGGACTAAAGAGATTTTGGATTGAAATGAAATAAATGAAAGTGGAGCTGCTGGTTTATTGAAGCCTGCTGGGTCACATTGAAGACTGACCAGGACTGGGGAAGAATCCTATGGGATGCTGGACTTTGCAGCCCTAAACTAGTCTTCTGTACAACTGTAACATCAAGGAGCAGTAGATGTGACTGGAATCCACTCCACAAGCAGAACAAAGATCAGAGAAAACTTGTAACTCAAATGAGAGTCAAACGCATTCATTTCCTAACCAAGAGACTAAACCCTGCTCTCGAACGCAGAGATCCCCCATGTCTGCTCACTGGAAACCCAACCCACGGCCATGATCAACAAGTTCCAGCTCAGATCTGCATTCTCACTACTCACCGCTCATTAATGTTGTCAGTTTTAAGTGTGTAAACTCTGTCAATGTGCGATATGTGGAAAACTGGCTCATCACTTGAAGGGTCTGTGGGCAGTTTCACCAGGACTTCATTAAGGAAAACAGGCTGCAAGAAAAGCAAACATCACTGTGGCAGCATCACCCTGACAATAAGTGGGCACCCTACAAGGATGTTTAAATACACTGTTTTACTGTAGGGAACACAGGATGGACAATCAGATCACTGTGTAAAGGACGTGAGAAGAGACTGACAGAAAAACTACTCAGGTGACACACTCCATTCTGTCTTCCTGGATGGAGAGCTTTGTGAAAGGGGCAGGACTGTGTAAGCAGAGCTGCAGTGAAATCTCTCAGGTTCCCTGTTGGAAAGCAGCCCTGATACTTATCTCCCCAGCTCCAGAGTCCGGAGAACACTTGTTTAGACACAGAAACGAAGGGTTTGTACCTTTTACTATTTTCTAAAAAAGGACAGGTATTTTCTTGTGGAACTTGTGCAAACTTAAGTCAAGGTTCCTGCTTCTGAACCCAGCTGGTCAGGCCTGGTGCTATTTCTACCCTTTCACCCCAGAATGGATGGAAGTGCTTATTAAACTAGGACACAGAAGCCTGTCCTTTTCCGGGGACTAAGCCAACGGCATGCATGCCTCTAGGACAGCAAATGATCAGACGGGGCCAGGCGGCTAATCCCAGCAGGGAGAAGAGCATTCCCCATCAGAATGCCAGGTCCCACTGTATCAACATGACCACCTTGATTCACTCACCATTTTGTACATTTTGAACTGGGAGTTGGACTTGGGGCTGAACAGTTTATCAGAGCCAGAAGATACAAACTGTTTAACCATGTAGGTGAGCAGGAGGAAGTCATTGAAAAGGAAGCCGTACAGCTCCTTACTGCTCTTGGCCTTGTACAGCTTGCCACTGTGCAGGAGTTTCCGTGGTCCCAAGCAGTTAGTGAGGGAGTTGAACACAGGTTGCTAGGAGAGATAAAACCCATTAGCAGCAGCAAGTTAACGCAGAGATCAGTTCCTGCTCCTCTTCACAGCAGAGGTTGCTCAAGATGCTCAAAATGCTCTTCAGTTTTGTTTAATGAATTTAGTTACAAATGAAGAGAAGGGAAGCTGTCTTACGATCTGCCATGAAAGCAGTTTAAGCTTTACCAACACCACACGCAGGGGTCTGACTGCATGAAGGCATTTACCTCGTGGCACTTTTCTGTTCTCCAGAAGTTGTGTTTAAGAAGAGCCTGCAGAGTCTGCAGTCAGGTCACCTCTTACAGGTGCACGATTAGGTGATGGAACTAGGACAGACCTTCTGGGCCTGTCAAGCCCTGGTTTCTTATGCAGCCAGTGACTAACTGCCATAACACCTCATTTTGCAAGGTACAGGAGCCTGAACCCCACATATCTTTGAGGATCTGGCATTGAGCGCTTCTGTGACTTTTCTGCATGAAGGAAAACCCTGGGAAACACATACTATGTGAAATTCCCCCTAGTAACACCTGGCTCAGCACAAACACAACTTCAGAGATCAGTTATTTCTGTTCTTTAATGGTTTTAATGGTATCAGTTTTAAGCCGATAATCAGGATTTCTCCACTGCTAAAATCTTGCAAACCTGAGAGCTCATCACATTCTGGCTGTGAGCAGAATTGAATAAAAGCTTCTCTGCCAAGAGCTCACCAGTGGATCACGTTCCAACAGGAGATGTGAGAAGGAGTCCCATTCCCTCCCCAGCCTGTCTGAACCGACTCAGAGAAGTCTCTGCCATAGAGCACATCAACGCAGCTACCTCAGCAAGGCCTTCACACTGGACATGGGACTGAATCCATTCCAGCCTGTCCGAGTTCTCCTTCTCGCGCACCCCTTCGTTAACCTGAGAGCACAGCTCCTCCGCACGCTCCAAGGCAAGCTTGAGGTTACTGTGATCTGGGTGATTTTCTGGAGTGTTCTCTAGAATCTGGTATGGATCAACAAGGGAGAAAGCAAGATAAAAGCAGAGGTAAGCACAAGTAATAGTTCTCCATACTCGCAGAAATCCCCATAAAGGGACAAGGCTTTGTTTTTCTGCTTTTAGTTACCGAGATCAAACTCGAAAGCATTCACCCATAAACCCCTGCTTAGGGTACTCACACTCTTTATGAGCAGAGGATAGCGGGTTATTCTTTGCATAGGTTTCAGGAGGAAACTGGAGAGGGGCATTCCTTTGCAGCGAGGGTCCAAGGCAAGTTTCTATGGTGCAACCCAGAGATTTAAGAGAGACATTGCATTACTCATCCAGAAACAGCTGCCTCACCACACCAAAAACTGTCTGATCAGATTCATTTTTCCAGGTATTCCAAGAAATCTTAGGATTTTCAGTAAGCAAACAATAGTCATATCTAGAACAAACAGAAAAGCTGTCATTGTACCTGGACACTTTGCCAGCATAAGCCATAGCATCATGGTTCATGCAGAATCCTTACATTCAAAACTATTCCAGCTTTTATTTTGGCATTACAGGCTCCATGCAGGTTGAAAACAGAACAAAGCCATGAAAGAAACAAATGACTGATGTCAACAGTTCTGGCATCTCTGCTTTCATGGTCTCAAAGCCACTGCGTCAGCTGCAGCATGGCAGCAATTCCTTACTTACTCCTGCTGTGTGCCTGCCTGTCATGCTCATGGCACACCTCTGGCCCCAGCTACAGCCCCACTGTTCAGACACACTGAATTCCAAGTGCATTCAGAACAACAGCTTTTTTATTTCAGCTCCACAAACTCTTACCCTTCTGCCAGCATGAATTTTTGGGAAGGTGCAGATACTGGCACCATAGGTTTGTGGGGTTAGTGTTACACTGAAGTAACAAGCAATGAAATGGGAAATAGAGAAATAAATTAGCTAGAAAGACAGGTATCTAAATAAAAAGCACACACAGTGTTAACCATGGTCATCATATAAATACACTTTGGCAGGCTCTTGGCCATTTTTACAAACTAACTCTCTGGGTTATTTTGCTCCAGTCAGTGCTGGTTAGACGAGCTCCTATCATTGAGGAAAGGGGAAGGCACAAAAGCTATTGAATAAGATACCTTTAAGTAGTCTTTGAAATCAGCATCCTCATCAGTTTTCTGCTGCAGCAACGAAGCTCCATTAAGCTGGCAGCTGCAGAACCGAATGTAGGCCTGCATGTGAGAGAGCCCTGCTGCCAAGATGTCCCCGATCATCTGCACTGGCATTTTTTCTCCTCCTGTTTTCTTACGCACTCGCAAGGCTCTGAAGAGGAAAGAAATCACCATCCAACTTTGCTGCCAAGTCTGCGAGGCCTTAATCAAGATCCTTACAACAACCACGTCTGAAAGGATGTGAGCCAGTGAGGTGAGTTCCCTCCCACAGCACGGGCGCTTCCAGGCAGCACAGGGTCCAGCCTGGACCCCCAGGCAGCCACCGGCACAGCCCGCTGAGCTGAACCGTCCGCCCGATGGGGTCTGTGGGACCGAGACGCTGTTTCTGACACAACTGGCATCAATGTCTACGTTCAACCAGCATCCCATTTCAATGAATTATTAGCCACTTTGTCTCTGTCTTTAGAGAATAGAAGGTTGCTTTGCAGAAAAGGGGGAAGAACGCCTCCTGTGCACGTGCTTGTGTGTAGGCTCTGTTTCTAAGGTGTTACAGCAAATGTGCATCTGTTCTTGCTGTTTATTCTTTCCCCCCCTTCCCTTCCTCATAACAGCTCCTTCTTCGTGAGGTAATCTGAATGTATTTAGCTGTTCTGAATATATGCACAGGAAATAATAGGCAAGGTCAGAAACATTTACTGTAAATGCAGAAAACTTCCTGGGGAAAGGAACAAGATAATGAAGATGAAGAGAAAACATAAAAATGCAGATATGTACTCACTTCAGTAGCTTTGTATTTGACATGATGAGTTCCTTCCAGTTAACAAAGATGAGCCCCATTTCTGCATCTGTGAGGCAGCCCGAATCAGCCATCGGTTTCTGGAAAACCTGCAGCCAAAAATCAGAAAGGTGAGCAGTTCTTCAGAGGCAAGAGCAGCCCAGTCTCTTTAGCCTAGCAGTCATTTTGCTTTTTCCGAATGCTCAGTGTCCAACTTCTCCAAAGTTAAAAGCAATTCCTTACTGGCACTTGTGACAGCTGTCGCTATTTTTCCTAAGTGTGTGATCTCATTCTGTCACTGGCATCAGCATCTGCAAAGCAGGGACAAGCACTGGGACTTGCAGGCCAACTGTTCAGCAAAAGAGCATTCCCTTGATTGTGGAGTCAATTCCTACACAAATTCCACATAGGCATCACTCCATCCTCATCCCCAGAGCACTCGTAGTCAAACCCATGTGTAAAACCACAGCTTCTTCCAGGCCCCCCCCCAGTGCAGTACCTCTGGGTAGCAGAATTCATGTGTAACTCAGTCTATTTAACACTTCACCCCACAGCTGGTTTACACAGACAGGTCAAGTCAGATGCCCAAGGTCACCCAACGCTGGCCAGTTCCTGCCCTGCCTAGTGAGGTGCTCTTGCTTCCAGAAATAAAACTGGAGATGAAGGGAGACAATAAACGTTCACGGTGCTTATACAGCTTGTCATGAGCCTATGCAGCTTTGCCAGACACCCCGGCCCAGCCCATCACCTGCACACTGAGCCTGAACAACTAAGAACAGGACTTGGAATATATGAAGATCCAGGTAAAATGGTGGCTTTCACAACGTGATGATTTTGTCTGGTGGACAACCACGTAACATGCACTAGAAAGGCAAATGCTCACACGCCTTTCTTCCTCAAGCCTTTCACAATCCATAAGAATCCCTTCATTGTTACTCAGCAGGACAAGGTGTTCTTTTCCAAATGCATTTTCACATCCAAGACATCTCACCTCTAAGACGAGCTGGAGATCATCCATATACCTTTCTTCTGTCTGAATGAGCTCATGAATGTAGCCCTGCCTCTTCCTCTCCATCGGCTGCATAGTGTCAAGGCTCTGGAGATCAGCACACCCTATAAGAAAAAAACCCAGTATTTTAGATCCCACTCAGGCCATCAGATCTGATGAGTTAACAGAAGTGCATCTCCATACAACAGCCTATGGTTCATCCTACACACACAGTGGTAAAACCCTGCCCGCAGCAGGAGTGGGTTTCGAAACTGAGTGATGCAGTGATCAACCTCCTCCCCCTTTATGTTATTTTTCAGTCTGTCACCTTTTTATTTCCTTGAACATCCCTTGTTCTTGTACTGTGATGCAGCTTAAGAATTCCCGACTTCCTGCCACTCCATTTTTTTCTCCATGTTTTTTCTCATTTCTTCTCCTTTTCTGCCATGCTGTTTCAAAACTGATTTTTCTCTTACCTTATGCAATGTCCACTGGGAGATGAAGTCAGCTAAAATGTGTCTGGTTCTGATTTAGGACATTGCACCTTTAATCTCCACCCTATTTCTAAAGTACTCTGCTTTGGTTCTTAATTTAGCGCACAAACCACCAGTACAAACTTGTACAAATTTGCAGTTGCACAACTTTCTCTTCTCATTTAGAAACAAAACGAACCTAAAATACATTGAATTACCCCTATGCATCAAGAGTGAATAGTCACAATCATGCACAGAACACACAGACATCCAGCGACATGAAGCCCAGGTTTTCTGTAGTAACGTGCAGACCCTACAGCTTCACACTGCTTTGTCTCCACTCGGACATGTCAGTAAGCACGACAACAGTGTGTGAGATTTAGTGACTGAATCAAAAACTGGTAAAACCAAAGTGGTGAATACGTTCAGGCGGGTGAAGAAGAGCACAGGAAGTCAAACTCTGATCTCTGTGTCAGCCACCACATGCTGGCAGGGTACTGTGAAGTAGCGGGGAGGGTAAAAATGACAAACAGAAGCAATTACAGAGCGTTTGAGGACATCCGGCTACCGCTTGATGTGATGGCTTCAGGTTGTAACACAAGGTGAACTGTGGCCTCTGCAGAGAGCAGGAAGGACATTGCAGGGACTCATTTAGATCCGGTGTTTCCAGAGGAATGACACTGTCTGAAAGTTCACAGGCATCGAGGAAGGCAGCGTGACCTACGGCACGAGGGGCTGCGTCTCCCTCGTCACCCTACCACGTCTAGGACACTAGAACTTGTATTTATTCTATTAACTGGCAACATACAAAGCTGCTCATGAGAAAGCTGCTCTAATTAATGAAATTGAGGGATCAATTTTTGGGAAAAAACCTCCAAGAAACACTAAAGATTTGGCTAAACTTGATGTGACAGTGGCCTAATAGGGAACCTCAGAGGCTGGTGCAAATTCTTCTGCTCCGAAGGACCAGCAGCCTTCAGCAGATGAGAAACACTTGTCAGATGAAGCTTTACAATCCCATTTGAAGTATTCTAACAGGGACACTCTTTGAACAGCAAAAAGAAGTAAACCAGTAAAGGCAAGAGCTAGGTTTAAAGTCAGGACTCCAGCTGTTTCGTACCCCTAAGGAGGATCACAGATCTTAAGCTTTCTGACAAGATTTGGGAAAAAATGCCACTTTTTATGCGGAGATCGGGGACTGCAGCTCTTTTGATCGTGCAGAATACTGCTTCTGCCCTTAGTTATTCCCAAAGTTACAATCAGGCCAAAATGAGATGAGAATAAGAAGTTACAGATCAAAGTGATTCCTATGAAGTTTGGCATCTCAATCTGTTAAGATGGACTGAGGCCAACGAGTGCTGCTTCTAGATTCTAGAATCATTCTTTTGTCTGCTCATGACCGAGTTTAAGCACATCTCGTTCCCAAGACATGAGGGTTTAGGATAACTGAGGGCTTGCACAGTAATCGGACTTTAGTGTCCAGATCCTGCAGTCTCAGCACTGATCTTGTGGTTCTTTTTCCTGCTGCAAGATGCACTCCTGCAACCAAAGCAGGGTTGGACTGAAGCCCTGTTGTGTTTGCTGCTATCACAGCTGTTAGAACAACCCCCACGTTCGGCTTTGTGTCTATCCCATGCCAACTGCTTAAAGCTGAAGCAAACACTGGAAGCAAAACAGGCCTTTTTTTATGCACCTAAAATAGATTTGGTTTGTAAGTTCGTTATCAGTTACAAAAATGCAGTTAAATTAACTGGCCCCTGTGCTAACCTTGTATTTGGACTGTCAGCTTTTGGGATGAACGGCTGAGTGCTATTTCATATTTAAATAAGCACTAGTGAGAACATCCCAGATTTTGATGGGTCTGATGATACTGGTATAGAAAACCCCAGTATGCAATCCACACATCTGATTTGAGAGGGTGAATTCCAGCATTCGGATCTGAGAAGAAGAAAGGCAAATGAGACACAATAGAACAACCTACCTTATGCATTTGCCAATGTTTTTCCAAAGTGGCCGTAGTGGCTTAGGGGTATGGAACGGGGTGGACCTACATTTCTAATCATTCTCCTCCCACATTCCTGTTCCCTCCTTTCCTTGCATCAATTCTGACACTTACCTGACAGCAAACAAATTCTGAGGGGAAAAGGAAATCACTAGTTTTCTGCTAGTTTAGCAGCCAGGAATCAGTGTGGAAGCAGTAAAACTGCCTTTTTTTTGACAGCTGAAAGCTGTTGGTTTGGTTTCTTTCTTCTGAACCACAGAATGGTTTGGGTTGGAAGGGACCTTAAAGCTCATCCAGTTCTACCCCCTGCCACGGGCAGGGACACCTTCCACTAGAGCAGGTTGCTCAAAGCCCTGTCCAATCTGGCTTTGAAACCTTCATCCCAAGCTCCCCAAAGAGCTAAGGAAAAGCAATGGAAAGCTCAGCTCCCTCTAGTGATTAGCTAAGAGGTTTCTGTGACCTTCAGAGGGCAAGCCAGCCTGCCCCTTCCACCCAGAGCAGGCACTGCTGGGCAGCTCAGGCAACCTGGGACACGATCTGCCGAGCTCCCGCTTAACAACATCTAACGGAGCAAGCAATGGGTGTCTGGTACCTATGAAGCTGAGGGCATGGCAAGGGAGAGATGCCATCTGTAACCATGGTACCTTTCGTGGTAAATCCTGCTCTCCAAGATGAGGAAGCAGCTGTCTCACCAGGGCAAGGTAAAACAAGCTGGAGAGTTTATAAACAGGAAATCGCAGTGTCTAAAGTTGTGTTTAAAATTGTGCATCCCTCTCCACATACACCTGAACAAGAACTACTTTCTTCCTACTAACATAACTAGCCCTGCTTGAAAAGCTACCGAGTTTCAGAGTCAAAAGATGCTCTCCTCTGCAGGAGAGTCAACTGCCTGAAAAGCACAGGGAATGGGGGGAGAAAACCTTTCCAAATACTGACATGTTTTGGATTTGAAAACGTTCAAGGTGAAGAATAACACTTTCTGTAAAAAGAAATCCTCCAATGAAAGAAAGATGAATGAGACCTATCATCATTTAAAGAAAAAAAAATTCTCTGTGAAAAAAGGGGAAGTGAATTACAATTTTTCTTTTAAAAGCCAATTCCAGAGAATTGAAGTAAAAACCAGATAGATAAAAGGCTTTCAAGGATGCCCAGATCTGCCTGGGCATCAACTGCTTTGTCTCTTTCCCCAACAAACTTTCTCACTCAATGAACAATGAAAAAGCACATTAAAAATGACAGCTCTGGAAAGACATCTTAAACCTCAAACAGGAGCTCAGGCACTTGTCATAGATTAATAGAATCACAGCACGATTTGTGTTGGAAGGGACCTCAAAGCTCATCCAGTTCCAACCCCCAGCCATGGGCAGGGACACCTTCCACTAGAGCAGGTTGCTCCAAGCCCCTGTGTCCAACCTGGCCTTGAACACTGCCAGGGATGGGGCAGCCACAGCTTCTCTGGGCAACCTGTGCCAGCGCCTCAGCACCCTCCCAGGGAAGAAGGTCCCAAAGGACCCATCTATACCAGAGGCATCACTGCCTTGGGTCACCAGTGAAAACCATTTAAGGGTAGAGGGTGGCCTGTAGGAACTACGTATGTAAGCTAATAGCTTGGTTGGGGTTGTGGGTTTTTTGTTTTTGGGGGGAGAATGGGCTGGTCATGGTTTGGGCTTTTTTTCTTTCTTTCTTGTTTTTTTAGCTCAAGCCAGTTGACATGGCTGGAAAAAGCAGGTTGGTTGTTTTGCCTGCCCCTAATTTCCCAGGTTATCATAGAAAGACTACACCTCACCTTAAGTACGATAGGCTGGCATTAAAATAACCCCTTTAGTGCAGCCAGAGAACAGGCAGATGGCATTGTGGGAGGTCACCCATAGGCAATTTACAGTCTCTGCTGGCACACATATGGCTAACTCACTTGTCATGTACTCCTGTCACTGCCTGTAGCTGTCAGTAGCCTCTGTGCCTACCGAAACCTGAGGAAAGGAGCTAATCCAAGAAATTTGTTGCCATGGGAAAGTTTGTTTCCACCAGGCCCTGAGAAGATAATAAAAACTTTCATCCAATCTCCCCTAATCAGTAAATGCAGTTTATTCTCTCTGAAGAAATTTATGATTCAATTTGCAAGAAGCAAAAAGCAAAATCAAGCCAGTCCGTCACCGCCTCAGGTAACAAATGCTCGTACCAGGCTACTCAGATGGGGAAAAAAATCCTCCAGAGATGGACCAAAAAACCACAACAGACAAACTTTTATGTGTCCCTTTAATAAAACACATTTGCATAGGTATCTTACAACTTTGTTTAAAAACAAAGATGAACAATTGCCTCATGCGAAGCACAGCCTGCATCTGCATGTTCTAACAACCACCCCAAACATCAATACTCTAGCTTGAAAAGAACAGCAAGAAGAGATTTTAAGGCAGCACACACCAATACGTAGCAGTTTTATTAGTTCATTACATTAAAGTAGCATGACCCTGTAGCAGCTCCCAACAGCACTACAGGCCACGGTTTGTCGGCATTTACAGGTGTTGTCAACCCGACTCAAGAAAATCACACAGGGATATGATCTGACAAAGCATCAGGATGGCATAAATATTCAGTTATTAGCATGTACCTTTTCTGACAGAGCTTTATGCCTTCTGCACTCCTAACA